CTCAATCTACTTGGATAACTAGCAGTAGCGGTGGGGATGATACTACTGCGAAAATCGAAAGTATGATGGAGGTGGCAGGGGTGCTGATGGGGCCTCATCCTCAAAGGAGCGCCACCCTTTATCTCAAGCAGAAAGGGCCAATTACCAATTAAAAAAATCAAGCTATTATCAATGTTTGATGAGGCATGTATCTATCTCTCTCTCTCTCTCTCTCTCTGCAATCACACAGCACGCCAAATCTCTATAAGAATTATATTTAACTTTTCTGTTTGTTTTTGTAATCAATATGAAGCCAGCTAATGACATGAATATCCCACCAAACTGAGAACAAAATTTATCATTTCTTTACCGAATATTTAGTATAATATGGTCATTAAATATTCTCATCCATGTTTATACTGACAAGCTTCTGATAAGGGTACATGTCGTTTGAAGAACGACATGGCTCCTGTAGAGGTTGTAAGAACATCCTTAATTAACAAATTCTTCTGCTTAAGAAAAAATCATTTCCCTTCTGCTTAACTTGGGGACCATTATCTTTTAAACCGTCTTTAATCTTGAATTGTTTTAAATAATTCATGGTGGTGAATCATTGGAAGCTAGAAGACATCAAATACTTCATTCATAAAGAATTTATACTGGCGGGCTTTGGTTAAAGGAAGAAATGGCCAGCATAAAACTACTGTACTAGAAGTACTATTTGGAAACTTAAAGAAATCATCCTTCACCTGCATTATGTTCAAGTTCAATTAATAATTACATCTTTTCGCATTTCCTCTTCGTAGATTCCTAATGTTTGCTTTAAAGAACTTATATGTTAATAAATTAGTGCATGATAAAGTAATACTTTCTCAACTTTATTTCTACCTTCCTTTGCCGGAAAAGTATAGTGAAATTAATGTTCTTAATTAAAAGCTTGACTTTGTGGTGGTTATGTTCATTGAACTTAATCATTAGACCTTTTGCATACTATGAGTTGGTAAATATGCAATTTGTAGTTTTCCAATGTAACAAGTGTTGAATTTTTAGACTATATAATTTATCTTAATATCGTAGTATGTAGGCACAAGTCTTGGGTTCAATTCTCATTGCCCCTCGTTAATAAAAATTATGCACATGATGGAGCGTGTTTAGCGTATATATAGCTTAAACTTATGGACGATGTGTTGTGTTGGTCAACTAATGTGGTTTATTTGTGGGAACAGATAGATGGAAGATACACACGATACTGTAAACAAATGCAGGCAATGGTGATTTCTTTTGAATTGGTAATTGGAAATGGGGCAGCAATGCCATACACAGAGCTAGCCCAGAAGGCAATGTCTCAGCATTTCCGGGGCACAAAGGATGCAATAATTGCACAGGTTAAGCAGACTTGTGAGATTCTTGGGGAAAATGATGTTACAATTAGTACTGGGTTGACAAAAGGAGAGACACCAAAGCTTAAGCTGCTTGAACAAAAGTTTAGACAGCAAAAATCCCTTCATCACATGGGAATGCTAGATCCTGAAGCCTGGAGGCCCCAGAGAGGATTGGCTGAACGTTTTATTAACATTTTGAGAGCCTGGCTTTTCGAGCATTTTCTTCAAGAGTACCAGACATGCTATTGGTGTATTTGTGTGTGTTTATGCCTTTTGTCTATTTCTCTCTCCATGTTATTTTCTTAATACATAAAAATGTGTATCCAAGATTATTATGAAGTTCTTGAATTTGTTTTATCTATACTCTTAAAGGCACTTGCTTGGAGAAGATTTGTAATGAAATTATCAATTTTTNTTATCAATTTTTATGCAATTTCAAATTTTTTTCACAAAGTGTTGTTTTCAATTTTGTAGGTCAATTATTATATATAACTATTAAAAAAAAAAAAAGTCTACAGCAACGTTGGAAAAACGTTGCAAAAGAGTTTACCGCAACATTTAAAAAAGGTTGCAAAAGGGTCTACAATAACGCTGAAAAAACGCTGCAAAAGAGTCTACGACAATGATGAAAAAACGTTGCAAAATGGTCTACCGCAACGCTTAAAAAAAACTGCAAAAGAGTCTATCGCAATGTTTAAAAAACGCTGCAAAATGATTTTTCACAACAGTGAATAAACGCTGCAAAAAGTTTTCTTTCAATGGCAACACCGACCTCCACAACACATGTTAAAACGCTGCAAAAGGTCTACCGCAGCATTTTTTGGCCGCTGCAAAAGGTCTTTTTTGGTGTAGTACACCAAGAGAGAAAAGATGGTGAGAAAATCTGGTTTGGGATTTAGGGTTTTTGGATTTTTGTTTATCTTGGATTTATTTTTAGTAATGGTAGCAGATACAAATCACTAATCAGGGTTGGGCTCTTGATTTATTCGAGAATTACAATGAATTTAGGTTAGTTTTATCACGATTAACATGTTATATGGGCAACCCTCTATTTTGTATACAA